CCAGACAAGAAAGAGTGCACACAGCAAGATTCCATTTACATAGAATGGTAGAAAATGCAAACTAATGACCAGTGACAAAAAGCAGAACAGTGGGGTGGAGGGCAGGGAGGAACAAAAAAGAGGGAGCACTGGGGAGACAAAGTAACCTTTGGTGGTGATGAATGTACACATTCACTGTCTTCATTGTGGTGCTGGCTTCATGAGTGTGTCCACATCAAAACTCATCCAAATGTACATTTTAAAGATGTGCAGTTTCTTATATGCCAATTATACTTCTATAAAGCTGTCAAAGGAAAATTAAGAATCAGCAGCCTCCAAACCCTGGAGAGCTGCTATGTTTTGAGGTCATAGACACATTGGTGCTAGCATAAGAGGAAACCAGTTATAAATACTATGGAAAGTGGGGACTCCCGAGAATGTCAGTTGAGGCTGCTTGTGTCAAAGCATCATGGGTGCCAGACTGATGCCATCCATGTGCACATGTTGACGCAAAATGGGTATCCAAACCATCTAGATATACAGCGTGTACACTTGGTGGCTGTCAATGTGTAAATTCACACACTCTAGCAATTATGTTTTACATTAACTTCCCTGTCTCAATCTTAGAATACTTTTGCTGTGTTTTTAAAAATTTCTTCTCATCAGGAACTAGCTAGAGTCCAAAATTCTTCCTCTGGCATCCCTCGCTCTCTGCACTCTGGCTCTAATGACGTTTTACCTCCGACTGTCCTACAGCAAGCCCTCTGCCCTTGTAGGGTTCCCTAATACACCATGTGCTCGCCCTTCTTCCCTCCACACTGCTGCTGGAAGTCCCTTGACTCTCTTTCTACTTTCCCTCTTGAGAGCTCACCTGGTACTTATTCCTACTCTGGCCTCAAGACACCACTTGTCATGCTTTGATACCTAACAAGGTGTACGCTTAGCACCCTCAACTGAAAGTCTGCGTCCCCTTGGCTAGGTCAAGGAATGAAGATTTGGGGTCTTGGCCCCTCCTAGATGCTTCATGGGAGTCGGCTCTGAGACCAGCATCCTGCTGCACCCATGCTGCCATAATGCCAGCAAGAGCGCACCCAGGAGTGAGAGGAAACCATTCAGTAAACATTTGGGACTCAAGGATGCTGTGTGGCAAGGGCAATGAATCCTCCAAGAGCCCCTTTCTCAGGCCTGCTTTCTCCTCCCTTGGAAGTGAGTCTGGGATTCTGGCCACTTGCTCCCAAAGAGCACAGCCCTTGCCTATTTCTTTGTTGAAGGCAGCTGGCAGCTTTGCCAAGCAGAGAAACTCTTCCAGGCACTCTAAGGTTCTAGTAAACGGCCATGCTTGGAAAGAGCCAAGTGCTCAGGCCTACGTAGAGCCCCAGACATGGATGCTGCCATCAGCCCAGCACTCAAACAAGGCCACATGAGGGCAGATGTGGCTGGGCCGGCCATAATTGCCAGTGGACAGTATCTGGTGGCTCAATGACCATCAAACATAAAGGGCAGAGGGAAGGGCCAAGGACCCCAAGCATGGCTGAGGGAGCAGGGAAGTAGAAAGAAACTGAGGCACCACCAGTAGGCAAGGCCAGGAGAGGGGGCTTCCAGGCCTACAAGGCAGAAGAGTGTCCATGCTGGAGTCCCTCTGCAGAGAGAGGTCAAGAAATAAACAATGGGAGGTTGAAGGTGGGGCTGCCCTCTCTACAGGGCCACACAAGGCCAGACAGTGCACCCGCACTGATGAGTGTGGACGATGCCACGTTGCCTGAAGAATGGCAAGAGAACTGTTTCTCAGGGGACTGATGTGGTGCTTGGCCCCTCCTGGTCTCAGAGTCATGGTGTCTGACCAGCTTCAGGTGGCTGCCCTCGATCCCTATGCAGCTGGCTCTCAAGGGTTTCTGCCTTATTTTTGCAGGGGCTGAGGGATATCCAAACACAACAGCTCAGCCTTCTCCCATAATTTCATGCTTATTGTCTTCCCTGACACCTTTAATCCAGCTGGTATCTGGTTCCTTTAAACTATCTGATGGCTACTAGTTACTGGTACATGGAGATAACTGCCACAGCATTTAGACAGCTCTTGAAAAGTGCCCAAAGTTTCAGAGGTTAAATGGCCCACAGATTCGTATGTGCCATGAGCTGACCTGGTATCTGGTTATTGTAAATGTTACTTGTCTGGGTAAGCATTAGGGTACTCTAAAACCAGAGTGAAAGTGCCCGGCATCTCTCTGGGAAAATCCATTCTTTGCTTAAAACACCTGTATATTACCCCTCCCCTCACCTAGTCATCTTTGCCTGTGGGTCTCAACGTGAAAAAAGCAGCTCACACTAATAATTAAGTTAGCTTAAAAAAATGAATAAAAGTTTCTAAAACCTAAAAAAAACCAAACAAAAACCAAGTTAGGTTATCCAGTAAAACCAATGGGGAGATCCAAGTCTTCTTTATTTTTTTAAAAAAGATTTTATTGATTTTTTAGAAGAAGAGAAGGGAGGTGAAAGAGAGGGAGAGAAACATCAATGTGTGGTTGCCTCTTGCACGTCCCCTACCGGGGACCTGGCCCGCAACCCAGGCATGTGTCCTGATTGGGAATCAAGCCAGTGGCCCTTTGGTTCACAGGCCAGCACTCAATCCACTGAGCCACACCAGCCAGGGCTGTCTTCTTTGTTAAAAGCTGGTAACTGACTGGCCTGTAAGAGCAAAATCGTTCCCTCTTCCCAGTTCTCATCACGTGGTAGCTGCTGCCCCAGCCCTAGTCAGGCCATGGTTGAACAAGGCTGGAGTCCAAGCACAGGGCCTCCTGCCACTGTGCCCTGCCCTGCATGGGGGTTGGTTTCCCGAATCCATGCCACATGCAGCAAAGATTGTTTCCCAATGACCTCTCCATGGACTCCGGACAGTTCCCAATGATTCTTTTTCTACTAGAAAACCCAAAGTTGCAGAGAATTTCAACTGCCTCAAGGTAAGGCTAAAGCTGACTACAGTCTAAAACCTGAGTTCAATGTGCTAAGGGGGCAATATTCATTTCACAAGCATTTACTAAGTACCAAGCACTGGGCCTGGCAACTAGGGCACAAAGATGAATATGACACGCAGAGCAGAAGGCAATCAAAGGACAAGGGGGTACGGACCCAGTGAAGGAGGCTTTGAGATAAGAGCAAGTTACAAGAACTTCCCATAAATCAAAGGTATGGAAAATCCTTTTAATATATCTATATAAAACATCTACATCTACACCTACACTTAATATTTCTCACTTTTGGAGTTGTCCTAGTGATTGTGCTCCAAGCAGCATGTTCAGAAGCAATCCTGTACTCTCACGTCTTCTCACATTCTCCCGATGGGTCTTTGCCCCTCCCCCAGCTTGCAGAGAAGGTAAGCTCGCTCCTTGGAGGCCTGGTGGGTGGCCTGCAGCACACTCACCACATGCCTGCCCTCTGGTGCTCTGTATGACAGACCAGAGCCCCTGGGAGTGAACAGGGCTGGAAGGAGGTGGCAAGCCAACCAGGATGCTAGGTTGAGAGTACCAAGGGGCATAACTCCTGGGCCCAGCTCTGGGGACAGCACAGGTGGTACAGGACAGAGCCTGCCAGCAGCTGCCTCCTGGCCAGTGTGAGCTTTCTCCTCAAGAACCTCCCTTAGCCTGCAGTAAAGTGCCATTTGAAGGTTCTGCCCTATTTCCATGGGGCTAAGGGGGAGGAGGGAGAAGAGTAGCTAGGCTTGCCGCCACACTAATTGTGTGTTAGGCCTCAGGAGGTCCCTTTCTCCTGTGTGAGTACTTCTCAGAGGGTTGGCAGGGGGGACTCTTCTTTCAGGAGCGATTCCCTGACATTCTCATATGGCAAACATCTCAATCTTCAACTTACATTATCCTGAATGCAAAAACATCCAAAGCAACTGGACCTCCAATATTTTAAGAAATGTCATGTAAAGACAGATCCAATGAGAGAACCACAACTGGGCACCCTCTGTGCAAATTCCTAACCCATCTTGCTTTCCTCCAGATGGGCACAAGCCACAAGGGGTGGCTGCTTGGGTGGGGGCAGGGAGCAGCTAAGTTTGAAGCTTTAGGCACTGAGGGTGGGGAGGAAGGACAGAGAAGCCAGGGTGGCTTTTGCTGGTGGGGTGGGGGGCATAAGGTAAGCAGGTGGGGCAAGCCTGAGGGACCGGTGGGCAGGAAGGAGACCAAAGGTAGCAGGGCAGCTGGTGGCAAATGTTGTCATGCTGCATTGTCTTGCCTCGAGCCTGCTGCTTTGAGGGACCAGAGCAAAAGGGCTCCTCTCTCGGGGAGGAGAAGCTGATAGTCCCTGGGCCTCATCCTCTCTGCAGTCCCCCAGCCAACCATCTGAGCTCCGAGAAGACGGGGCCTGGGCGCTGCTCCTCTGAGAAGCAGCAACTGGGGACACACATGGAAAGCTGCAGTTTTCAGGCACAAAGACAAATGGCCTGAAAAAGAATGGGTCACTGCTCAACACGATAGCAGGGTGTCCTGTGCCTTCCCACGAAGCACAAGTTGACAATGCAGGCATGAGCAGTCCACAAGAGCATTTGCCCAAGTCTATTTTCAGACCATTTCTTGATGAACTTGAGGGGGTGTCACAGTCAAGCCACAGCCTACTTACAGAGTTCGCAATTTTGAATTTCCTCAAGTCTCTTCCATTCATACAGGTTCTTAAAGGATTAAAGTGCTTTTAGTGTCTTCTCCCTGGAAACACTAACAAGTCTTGGGGTGAAGTGAATGACCCCACGAGAGAAAATAGACCATCTGTCCTTCAGTTAAGGTGCCTGGGCCCTTGGAGTGGCCCTACTTACAGGTTTCCTCCTGCTCATAGCATGACGTCCTGATGGGCGTGCAAGAGCCCTTGCAGCAGCTCACACAGTGGCTCCACGTGCATGCCCACTTGTGCACATACATGGCAGCCTATCGTTAGCCCAGGGCAGAAGCTACAGTGAAGTCTCTACCTTGACTGCATCATCAATGATAGAATGGAGGGGAGCAGGACGCCCAGCCCTCCCACAGACAACCCTGTCAGATGGCACTGTGGACAGCTGTGCATTCAGAATCCATTCCCTGTTTCTCATCTCCAGGCTGGGGCTCTTCAATGGGACTTTTGAGGGCCAAGGAGGCTGGTGCTTTTTCACAGTCGCTCTCTTCCAAATCCTTCCTTCCATGGCAAGTTTTCTGAGAGTGACGGAGCTGCAATTTCCCCTTGAAGGCCTTGCCACACTTGCCACATTCGCCACACGTGCAGGGCCTCTCGCCACTCTTGCTACAGGCCTTCCCACACTCGTGCGCCCGTCGGTGCTCCTGGAGGAGCGAGCTGCTCCGAAACACCTTCTTGCAGTCTTGACATTCGTAGGGCCTCTCTTCACTGTGGACCACCTGGTGCTTGAAGAGGTTGGATCTTCTGCTGAAGGTCTTCCCACACTCGCTGCATTCATAAGGCTTCTCACCACTGTGCACCCGGCGGTGCTGACTGAGGCCTGAGCGCCCCCGGAAGGCCTTCCCGCACTCCTTGCACTCAAATGGCTTCTCTCTGCTGTGGATGCGCTGGTGGTGAATGAGTTGAGAGACGCCTTTAAAGGCTTTTGGACACTGACTGCATGTGTAGGGCTTCTCCCCACTGTGGGTGCGCTGGTGCTCAATGAGGTTGGAGCTCCTGCTGAAGGCCTTCCCACACTCACTGCACTCGTAGGGCCGTTCGCCGCTGTGGATGCGCTGGTGTTCCAGCAGGGCAAAGCTGCGCCGGAAGAGTTTCCCACACTCTGGACACTTGTAGGGCTTCTCGCCACTGTGGATAATCTGGTGCTTGATGAGGTTGGAGCTGCGTGTGAAGGTCTTCCCACACTCATCGCACACGTAGGGCTTCTCACCGCTGTGGATGCGCTGGTGCTCCAGGAGGGCAAAGCTGCGCCGGAAGAGTTTCCCACACTCAGAGCATTCATAGGGCTTCTCACCACTGTGGATTATGCGGTGTTTGATGAGGTTGGAGCTCCGGCTGAAAGATTTCCCACACTGCTGACACAGATACCGCTTCTCTGCCCCTTTGGAACACTGTTGCCTTGAGACCAGATCTTGCCTAATGCTGCGATTACTTCTCTGTACCATCTCTCTTCCCTCACTCAGGGAGTTGCCTTGGTCTTTCTCCCTGTGACGGTCACTGGAACCCGTCTCTGGAGAATGAACATGTTTTTGTCTCTGCTCAAGTGTTTCCTTCGGCAGCCTGGGTACCTGGCCCTTGCTGCCACCCTGAAAATTGGCCCCTGCCGATTCTTTTGGACAATGTTTCTCCTTGGAACTGAACGCATGGCTCTTGATCCTTTCACCTGTAAAGACAGAGAGTACCAAACAGTGTTGCTCCCTCCGTGGATCCCTATTTAGGGTTTGTACTTCACCCTCACCCTCATGCCAAGGCTGAGAACAGATGTATCAGGAGATGATTGTGGGCAGGCAGACAAGAGAGCAAGAAGGGAAGAAGTGATTTGAGACAGCAGAAGGTGCTCTCTTCATCTGGAGCCTCCATAGGGAGAACTCCTTGGGCCATTTAAATCAGCCACAAAAGAGAATTTTCCACCCAAAGTTGCCGCACCCCCCTCTGTTGGCTGCTGCTCTTTGCAAATGCTGAGCATCTTGTACTCACCTGGCTGTATTCCTGTGGCAGCCCTTGTCCTGTAGGTGTCAGCGGCCCAGGGCCCTTCCCCTCGTTCCAACAGAGAGACCAGGTGAGGCTTGGAGGATGAAAGTCCTGTCCAAGGAAATGAAGTGGATCAGTCACTCCCAAACTTAGCCCAACCTCAGTATCTTCAAGAACAATTCACTCCCCAACAAGTGCCACTGGGACGGTCCAGAGAAAGGGCAGAGTCCCTTTAAGGAAGCAAAGGGCTCTAAGTATACAGAAGCCAGGCAGGCACAATGTATCTTAAGTAATTGGTGATTTGGGCCGAGAAGATAAAGATGTTATTGTATTATTTGGCCTGTGGGGAGGGCAGCAGACTTGTAGAGGGCTCTGTGTGTGTGGACACCCCAAGGCACAGGTGAAGGGCTAGAGCAGGGATCCACAGGCCCTAGGGAGTATCAGGAAGCAAACAGAGTTGAGGGCCTTCCTGCACCCCAAAAGCTGAAGCCCTTTGAGTCACCATCAGACAGAGCAGATGTCTCAGTTCCTTGTGCCAAACTCAGGGGAGGATCCTTGAACTTTCCTGGGAACCCCAGATCTTCTTGGTGAGGGTCAGAAAGAACCCATGGAAAAAGACAGTCTCCCTCTGCGGGGGTACATCACAGAGGTGAAATCTGTTGAGTCTAAAAAAAAAAGTTGGAGCAAGAAGATGCACTTTAACCCCAAAAGCAGTGGGGTACAGGAGAGGAACCAGCTCCTACCCTGGCTTCTCCATGCCTTGTCCTGGGCTCTCTGTGGATCAGTGCTGCTGAACTCTCTAACATGAAACAGATGTGAAATGCAACTTGTTAAAAATGAATTGAGTCTCAAATAGTGCATTGGGTAGTTTGCACCTACCTTTTGGGTAGAATAGGTTTAGTTAACCTATAAATTTACATGAAAGTGTTTGATGAGGGCACACATATTTACCTAAAACATTTACAGGTCCAAACTATTAAACTAAAAACTGCCCCGTTGAGACAAAAGCTGAGTTGCAATGGATTATGGATCTGATGGGGGAATGCATTTATACGTGGCCTCACAGTAACAATAAGCAAAGAAACTTAGCTATAAACTGAGTTCAGAGACAGAGTAGGGGGCACTGGGTGTATGTGGGGTCCTTACCCAGTGACACCAAATGACGGTAATTCTCCAGCATCACTCGCTTGTAGAGGATCCTTTGTTTGATATCCAGAAGCTTCCATTCTGTCTTGGTGAAGTATATGGATACATCCTCAAAAGACACTGGCACCTAAAATGAGCCATTCCTGTGGCTGTAGGGAAACACCCTCATGGGCCTCAAAATGAGGTGGCAGCAACTAAAGATGGGGCAAGGGGGCTACTGAGGAGCTCAGCAGCTGGGGGAAGCTCAGAGTTTCAAGGGTTGTGAAGCTGGGATATGAGGAAGTGGCAGATGGAGACCGTAAAGGGGAGATGCTAAGGTGAGGGGCCGCTGCAGGAGGGAAGCCCCACTCACCTTGGGCCTGGTTTTCAGGAGAATGGCTGCCATGGCAGGGGCACCGAGAACCTAAGGGAAACGGAAAGAGCCAGGTGTGAGATGAAGCCCACACACTCCAGTACAGCCTCATCCAAATCAGGTCCTATTCACAGCTACTGGGGACGCAATTCAACCAACAACACTTTCCCAAACTGAGCTTGTGTCCCCTCTCCTCACCCACGTAGTGGATCACCAGACACAGATTTCATCCCTCCTCATGCTAGCCTCAGCAAACCAGGCTTTCAAGGGAGTGTTTCTTCTTTCCTTTCTTTTTCTCATTTCCTTCTTTTCTTGGCCCTCTTCTCATGTGAGCAAGTATCCCTGACCCCAACTTTTCAGCCATCCCCGGAAGCTCCACTGTCAACCTCTTTTCCTCTCAGGTCAGGGTTCTTACAGGAAAACTCCAAACATCCCACCTCTGCCTGCAAACAGACTTTCTCTCAAGGGAAAGAGAAAGATCAGGATGGTGAGCTGCACAATGAAGGGACCCGCAATAGTTGGGGAAGGGGTGTTCTCTGACAAGGTAACATTCAGGCTAAGAGCTAAAGGATGGGTGAGTAAGGAGAGTTGCAGGCCAAGGGCCCAGCCCGTATCCAGCTCTTAGATAGCCTGAGTGCAGTGTTCATGGTGCTGAGAACTGTGGGGGTGCGGGGGGGGGGTTGCAGAAGGTTGCAACCTCTCTACTTGTCTGTTGAAGAAGTTGAGACCATATGGGCCACTTGGGGACCAGAGGGAGCCAGACTTCTCACTAACGGCAGAAAGAATGTGCCACTGACAAAGGGGACATTATCAGATTTCTCCACATCAGTTGTTAATGCCAGAAGACAGTGGAGAAGAAGAAAGTTTTCTCTAAGCACGTTATTTTCAGACAACTGGAACCGAAAGGTGGAAGTCCTAGGCAGAGCAGCAGAGGAACAAGGCTGTGGATGGTGGGAGCATGGGCCTGGAGTGTTTCTTATGCTGCTCTGGGTGAGCACAGCTTGTTTGTGCAACAGGAGAGAAAGCGATGGGACAGAGTCCCCAAAGTATTTAAGTTGCCCCAAAGTCCCTTATCCTCTGTGATGATTGTCAATCAACACTGGCCCAGAATAAATAAATTCATGTGTCTGATGAAGAAGTTTATATTAATCAGAGAGAAAGAATCCCTTACGGTTGAGTGAATGCTAAAACCATTAGGTGAAAGACTGAGGAAGGACAGACATTCGTGTGATGTCAAAATGTCTTCCTGGGCTACTGCTGGTCACAAGAGAGAAAGCTAATCTAATAGTGGTTGCACAGAGGTGGGACGTACCTTCGGGGAGTGCTCAGGTAGCCCAGGAAGTCTCTTGCCAAAGCTTGACCTGATTCTAATACAGCCTTGGGACATAACTTGCAGTTTACAGAGGATCTCTGGGACATAGTGGGGCGGTTAAAGACACCACAAGGAAGCAAGTGGCCCGATCTGTAAGATGAGCTGTTTCCCAGTCTCCTTTGCAAATTAGTTTCATGGGAGAAAGAGGAGGCTAGAGAGGATGACTGTTCTAGGTGAAAAGAGATTCAAGGGCCAGCAGCCAAGTGCAGTAGAGTCCTTGATGAGATGCTGGCATGAACAAAAGAGGAGTCAAAGGCATTAGGGGGTACAGAGGGTCAACTGTGGAGCAACTCTCAGAGGACAGTGTGGACCACTGCTGCTCATGTGTTGATCCACATGGCACTGGGCCATGGAAGAAAATGTCCTTGTCAAGATAGGCACATTGAAGCATTTCGGGGGAGAATGGCCTGCAGACTTACTTTAAAATATTTGGCAAAAACAAAGGGGATGGAGAGAGAGAGAGGCAAACAAGCAAATCCAGTGAGCTGGAGACCACCGCCAACCCTGAGAGGTAGGTACCTGGGCTTCATTAGACTAGTCTCTCTACTTGTCTGTTAGCTTGATGTGGTCCAAAATTGAAAGGGGAAATAATTTGATGGTTCCTCAACAAGTAAACATAGTTATCAAATGGTCCAGGAATTCCACTTCTGGATATATGCTCAAAAGAACTGAAAACAGGTGTTCGAATAAAAACTTGTATATGAATGTTCCTAGAAGCACAATTCACCACAGTGAATAGGTGGAAACAACTCAATATCCATTGACTGACGAATGGATAAACAAAATGTGGTCCATACATACAATGAAATGTTTGGCCATAAATAGGAATGAAATACTAATACATGGTACAATGTGAATGAACCTTGGAGACATTATACTCAGTGAAAAAAGCCACACACATACAAAAGGCCACAGATGGTATGATTCCATTTATATGATGTAACATAATATTTCACAAGAGCTGTCTTGACCTAGTTTGGAAGTTATGACTAAAACCTTCTTTTCTCTGTCCTTCTTGGGCAGTTTGCTACACTCCCACCCCAACCTGCCTTATCAGGGGCCTTCTCTATGGGACCACTGAGTACATCCTCCAGCCCCCTTATTGAGCTCCCATCCTTGGAGGCCAGTACCACACAACTAGGGACAGCCCCTATGCCCAGAGGGACCCCGTGGAAACTAGTATGCTACTCAGATGCGTCCTCCCTCTTCCTGTGGCAGACTCTTGTCCTTTGGAGACGTAAGTAAGAAGGAATTATGCCTTTCATCTCTCTGAGCATCAGTGTCCTGTGACCTGCCATCCAAAAAAATCTTATCTCGCCCTGGCCAGTATGCTTCAGTTGGCTGAACGTCATCCTGCAAAGTAAAAGGTCACTGGTTTGATTCCCAGTCAGGGCACATGCCTGGGTTTTGGGTTTGGTTCACGGTCAGACTGTGTGTGAGAGGCAACCGACTGATGTTCCTCTCCCTCACCTTCTCCCTCCCTTCCCTTCTCTCTTAAAAAAAATCCTATCTCATAAAACACAAGACATGTCCAGAACAGGAAAATCCAGAGAGCCCGAGAGCAGATCAGTGGGTGCCAGGGGCAGTGGGGGACGCAGCGTGTGTGACTGCTCCATGGCTATCAGGTTCCTTCCATGGGTGGTGAGAATGTTCTGAAACTAGACAGTGGTGATGGCTGCACAACATTGTCAGTGTACTTAATGCCACTGTACTGTTTGCTTTAAAATGGTAAATTTTATTTTATGTGAATCTCATCTCAACAAAAAAGGGGGGCAAGAGGTGTCACTGTCAAGTAATCATTCTGATGTCCACATGTCGCATGTTTCATTCTGACACACTGTCAGTCACTGGGGGACCTGACGAGCTAAATGGGCAGGCCAGAGATCAGTGATATGAGCCAGGGTTTTCAGATTAGCATCACATTGTTTTGAAAAACAGCACAAGCTTCTTTTCCCCCTTTTATGGCTACACTGCCAGGTCACGATCCATGTTGGAAAACAGGAAAGTCTAAAGGAAGAGGTGTTATCTCCAGTCCCCAAACTCCACGACATCCTAGGGTACAAGCCCTGAGTAGAGAAGCAGCTGTTGAGCTGTGACCAACTGGGAGAAACAGCATGGATGGGTTCGCCTGTAGATGGAGACCAACGCTTAAGTTCAGCACTACAAGGCGCATTGTAGGTGGCAGCCATGATGAGCAGCTGCACACAACAGTGTCTATGCTTGAGACCTGGCCCCCGCAAAGTCAGCATACTTTCAAATCCCAGAAAGAAAAACGAGAAGCCCTGTCCTCGCAGGCTATTAACTCGAAGTAATCCACCAGGTGGGAATAGGGTGACACTCCCTAACACATACATAAGGAACAATCTAGAAAGAGCCTGTGTAGCTGGAGAGCTTGGGCCACCAGAGCAGAGGAGAAACTGAAGGATAATCCTAGACTCCAAAGCTCAGTTTTCCCTGAAACCAGGCACTGGGCATGCAGGTGAGGGTCCATCGGACAGTAGCGCCCCAGGCCAGAAGCTGGTAAGGCCCTGCCAGCCTCTTCCTGGGCTGGTTCACCTCCAAGAAGGGGGCAGACTCCCACCCCTTCGCTGACCCTGGCAGAGGGGAAGTTGAGAATGAGGAGCCACTTGCCCACCATCCTGGGGGAGGGGCGGAGAGGAGGGGGTACAGAGTGCTGCCAACCCAAGTGAAGTCACCCTAAAGCACGAGAGGGGGCCAGTGGGCTGCTGCCTTCTGAAGACCACGAGATGGGGCTATTTCCCCAGAAAAAGAAAACAGAAAACAAACAAACAACCGGAAAGGCAGTCAGCAGTCCCACTCATGCTGGATCAGGAACTGGGGCTTTTTCATCCACAAGGAAGGACACCCATGACCATGACACCTGGCATTCCTTCTTCCTGGAGGAACTTCCTCTGGGGTCCAGTGATTCAAAACCTCAACTGCCTTTTCTGTTGGTCCCAGCAGCCTTCCCTGAAGCGCACCTCACCTGCCACCCACCTGGTGGAAGGCCTGGAAGTCCCAGAGCTTGGGGAGGGAGGCCAGCCTTAGCCCAGAGCCCAGGTCTGGCCTGAGAGCTGCCACAGGCCAGCCCGGGGCACTCTCTATGTGGCCTGGCCCAGCAAAGCCCTCTGAGGACCAATCCTGCAACTGGTGTCTCCAGGCCCTGAGCTTGGGGGGGTGGGGGAGAGGCTGACCTGGACAGAAAGAGAGCCACCTCCTAGTGGAGTTCTGTCCTTCCCTGCTTAGAGCCCTCCATGAAGTGCCTGTCTCACTCAGAGTAAACCCACAGGGCCCTTTCTTACCTCTCCCGCCCCTCCTCCCACACCCTTGCTCTATCCGCGCCAGCCACACTGGTCTCTGAACTCTTCCTCCTGCATAGCAGGCTATCCTGCCTCAGGGCATTTGTATTCTCTGTTCCCTCTGCCTAGTAGGCTCTCTCACCTCCTTCAAGTTTTTCAGAAATGTTGCCTTCTAACCACAGTACTTAAACTTGCAACCCCACACCCCACCTCCCTTCCCCTGCTCTATTTTTTTCCAGTGACACTTCCCACTGTTTAACATACTTTATAATTCTTTAATTTAAAACATTTACCGTTTTTTGTCTGTGCTCTGTCATTAGAACTGGACTCACCGAGCAGGGAGTTCAGCAGATTCCGCTTCCTGATATATCTTGAACGCCTGCAGTAGCCTGGCCCCGCAGTGGGAGCTCAGCGTGCATTTGTGAGAACTGGCCCGGCAGGGCAGCCCAGCATGACCCGCACTTAAACTTATCTACTGCAATCCCACACCCACCTCCCTTCCCCTTGCAGTTCGGTGCAGTCCCTCTCCTGCCCTTGCGGGCCTTCCATCCTGTCCTCAGCTTTCTCTGCCTAAGCCTTCCTATGCATTGCTCCTAACCGTCAATACACCACCACCGAAGGGCACACCCCCCCCGCCCCCCAAACCCCGTGCCTGCTGACTGTTTGCCGGGCGCCTCGGGCAGGAGTGTTGCGACCGTGGTCACTGTTCCAGCCTGCCTGGCGCTCCCACATGAAGAGGTGTACAGCCCAAACTTACCAGGCGACTAGGCTACGGGATGCGCTCTTACCGGCCCAGTGGCGAACTGCAGTCAGTGGACAGACGTTGGGAAATCCAGCCTGCCTTCACCGGGCGCCCAGGAAAGGGACAGCCCCGAGGGCCAGACGCCAGCTCCCCGAGCTCGCCGCCTCCCAGGGCGTCCCGACGGTAGCCGCTGCAGCAGCTCCTCCGCCCCCTCACCACCTGCGAAGACGGTGCCCCGCCCCTCGCCCCCCAGCAGGCCTGAGGCCAAGACCGCCGCCGCCTCCTAGAAGCCCTCCGGTGCAGCCCCCAGGAGGCAGCGGGGCTCCCGGAAGGGTCTTGGCCTCGTCTCCCGTCACCGTCACCGTTTGGGAGGTGCGTTCTGCACAGCAGTCGGTCCGTCCGTGTCCGTCCGTCAAATACCAACGTTCGGGCAGGGAGCAGGCTGGGCGGGGGTGGAGGCGGCGTGGGAAGGGGGGCACGGAGCATGCGCAGCACGGTGGGAGGGCGGCCCTGCCCGCGCCCGCCCCAGCGCGCCCCGCGGGGGTTCTGTCTTGGCTCCTCACACACCCCGGAGCACTTCTTCTCTCGGTCTGGAGGCTTCTAGGGCTCTGATGTCAGTGGCCAGTCCCCTGAAGCCCCCTCCCCCAAGGAGACAGGGAGGGGCAACATTAAGCTTTACGTCCATCCAATTATCAGTCCTTCCATCTGAGATCTACAGAACCTCTGCAGGGCAGCTAGCAGCGAATGGCTAGACCAAAGCCACCCAGTGAAGGACCAGGCCAGTTGAGCCAGGAGGACAGAGATTAGAAAGTGAGGGACGGTGAGAAGGGATGGGGGGAGGCCAGTGTGCAGGTAGGTGGAAGGGAAAGAGAGTAAGAGCGGGGAGTGAAGAGCTGCTGGGTACATTTTGTCTTTCCCTCAGGTCCCCCACCACGTGATCAGTGAGCTGGTCTGCAGGGTAGGCATTGGGGTCTGTATTTTCCCACAGGTGGATATCCATGTGGCAGAAACAGGATTGAAATCTAGGGCTGACCGGGGACACGTGCCCCGTTGACAATGATGAGTTCCTCGAAAAGCTGGGAGTATGAAAAAGGCTGTCAAAGAAAAGCAACAACGAAAGCCAGGCGCCCTGCATGTTCCACCCCTCCCCCAGCCCCAGGCCGTTGGGAATTGAGCAGGAGCTAGGCACCTCTCTGCCTCTGAGCTCTACCTCTCTTCACAGAACCAGGGGGACGTAGGCCTCAGGGAGAAGCCCTCAGCATGCCCACCCTTGGCTTAGGGGGGAGAGCTGGGACACCCACTTACGGTGCTCCTAGCTGTGAGGAGCAGAGCTCACAGGGTTCCTTCACTGAGGCAGAGGCAGGGAGATTCCCTGCTTGGCTCTTGGCCATGGGCCCTGCTGCTCAACCTTGTCCTCTCACTTGTGGTCTGGCTGGGCGGGCCTGAACCTGGGCTCTGGAGATGTAGGGGGGCGAATGGCGGCCGCTGAAAAGATAGGTGCTCATCCTAACTCCTAGACCTGTGAATGTGACCTTTGTTTTTGGAAAAAGGGTCTTTGCAGATGTGACGAAGTTAAGAATTGTGAGGTGAGATCATGCTGGGATCATCCAGGTGGGCCCTAAACACATTAAGTGTCTTTAAAAGAGACAGAAGAGAGACATAGACACAAGGGAGAAGGTCATTGTAAAGGTGGAGGCAGAGATGGGAGCGCTGCAGCCACAAGCCTAGGGATACCTAGAGCCCCATGAAACTGGAAGAAGGAAGGAAGGGTCTTCTTCCAGAGCCTTTGGGGGTAGCATAGTCCTGCTGATACCTTAATTTTTGGTTTCAGAGTTCCAGAGCCATGAGAATAAATTCCTGTTGTTTTAAGCTATCTGGCTTTTGGTAATTTATTACAGCAGACCCAGAAAACTCATACAAGAGGGAATGGGCTGAACTCAGACCCCTCCCAAGCCAGTTCCTAAAGGGGGTTTGGCCTTTGCACCCCACATCAGCTAGCAATAATTGGATGTATGCTGGGGGTGACCCTGGGTAAGGCAACTCCTTTGGCCTTGGGCAGTTCCTAGAGAGCACCGGCATCCAACCTTCACTAAAGCGGGGGGCGGTGAGAGCCTCAGGCCTGGAGTGGGGCTCTGGGACTGCACCCCACATCCACTTCAGTGTGGAATGACTGTGTGATCCGAACATGTAGTTGTAATAGGGCTATAAAAATAGAGATGGGAAGACAATGCATAATTGTCCTAAACTGTTCGGGGGTTACCATATGGCTGGTGGTAGCATTACTATAGTTGGTCTGGAGAGCATCAGAATGTTTACAGCAAAAGTGGTAGACCTATGAAGAAAAAACTGATAAACCCACAATTGTGTTGAGAGAGACATTTCCCTTCTAGATTGTTTTCAATATTTTATTAGAAAGAATTTCAAACACATGCCCAGCTAGCCTAGACATAGTAAGATAACAAAAGCTTGTGGGTGCACCAATCAGCTGCTCTCCACACAGGGCCATCTGGTCCATCTGTCCTCCATCCACCCCCCTTTATTGTGGCAGGAGGCTTGAGACCTTCTCTGAGAGAAGTGGCCTCACTGCTGCAGGCAGGAGTGGTACTCTGAGGGCAGCAAGTCCAGATTCAGCCACTCCGCAGCATGCACCCAGAAGCCCAGTGGAAAAGGGGTCTGGAGAAGGGGTCCAGGGTGAAGCCAAGTTGTCAGTGGGAAGTGAGCAAGCCTCTCACTCAGGAGGGAATGGTCCAAGCCAGGTCCTTTATTAGCTCCTCTTACTCCATCCTTCTGTTAACGTTGGTGTTTGTGAATAGTTATGAGCGTTTAGAGGCTTCATATTACTTGTTGGAAGATAGATCAACAGAAATAATACATTATGAGAGGCAAAAGATTAAAAAAAACCAACCAAGAACAGAACCTCAATCACTTGTGAAACAATATCAAAAGGTCTAACACGTGTATTTGGGAACCTAGGTAAGAAGAGAGAGAGTGGGAAAGAAAAACTACTTGAAGAAATAATGACTGATGTGTTCAGAATTTGGAGATAGACATAATTTACAGATTCAAGAAGTTCTATGAACCCTAAGGAGGATAAATACGAAGAAAAGCCATGTGTGGGCTCATCGTAGTCAAAGTACTGAAGACAAAAGATAAAGAGAAAATCTTTAAAGTAGTCAGAGTTAGACAAAGCAGTCCATATAGGGGAATATTAACAAGACAATCCACTGAATTCTTACTTGAAACCATAGAAACTAGGATACAATGAAACATTTTAAAGCGCTGAACAACAACAACAAACAACTTTCAACCTGAACTCTCTATCTATATCCAGGGGAAAAAACCCTTCAAGAATGAAGGTGAAATAAGGACCTTTTGAGTCAAATGAGAGCTAAGGGAATTCATTGATAGACCTTCACTGAAAAATATGCTATAGGAGGTCTCTCCATCTAGTAGAGGGAAACCTTGATCTTTGGGCAGAGATGGAGAACACCAGCAATGGTAAATATGTAGGTAAATATTTTAAAATACTTTTCTTAATTTCTTTATAATACACATGACTATTTAAAGTCAAAATTATAACAATGTGTGGTAACACATGTGTATTGTAAAATAGTGTGTTGTAATACATATAAGTGTTCTAAATACTTGTAGATGTAATACATATGGTAACTGCAGCATAAAGGATAGGTTAGAGAGGGAATGAAAGTCCTTACATTTATGTGAAGTGGTACAATATTAACCACAAACAGACACTGAAAAGTTAAGGATATATATTGTAACCTCTATAGCAATCACTAAAAAACAATGCAAAGTGATAACTTCCTAAAAAGGCAGTAAATAAATTAAAATGGAATTAAAAAAAATAGATTATCTCAGGTGGGAAAAGAGGAACATAGGAACAAAAACTACTATAGATGGGACAGACAGTGTTATAGAGGGGATGTTTGTGTCCTCCTGAAGATTCACATGTTAAATTCTAACCCCCAATGTGATGGCATCTGGAGATGGAACCCTTAGCAGGTGATTAGGTCATAGAGAGGCCCCCATGAATGGGATTAGAGCTCTTACGAAGGAGGCTCCAGAGACTTCCCTCTCCCCTTTCTGCCATGGGAGGACATGGTGAGAAGATAACAGACTATGAACTAGGAAGTGGGCTCTCGTCAGACACAGAATCTGCTGGTACCTTGATTGTGGACTGTACAGCCTCCAAAACTGTGAGAAATAAATGTTTGTTATTTATAAGCCACCCTATCTGTGGTATTTTGTTGTAGTCACCTGGATGGACCAAGACAGACAGCAAAAAGATAGACCTAAGTTTGACCATATAAAAATTACACTCAATGTTATGATGGGTTAAATACTCCAGTGAAAAGGTACATATTGACAGCATGAAGAAAAGAGCAATGGTTTTACTGTCTACAAGAGATGTAATTTAAAAATAAAGAATCAGACGAGTTGACAGTAAGAGAATCCAAAATGATATACCACGCAAAGGGTAAGGATAAGAAAGTGGGAATGGCTACATTAATACCAGACAAAACATTGAAAGACAAAGACCATTACCTAAGATAAAAGGTAATGATGAATTATACGTGTTAATTAATCAGGAACACATAGAGTTCATAAATGTATTTGTACATTATAAGCTTAAAATATATAAGACAAAAGTTGACACTTCCAGTCAAGAGGACGGCAGAGGTAACAATGGTTCACCTCCTCACAAAACCACATTAAATTACAAATCATAGAACAACCATCATTCAGAACCATCAGAAATTGAGTTGAATGGAAGTCTGACAACTATGGAATTAAAGAAACCACATCCATCCAGGCTGGTAGGAGGGGCAGAGATGTGGAACAAGCTGGTTCCACATCCATGTGTAATGGATAAAAATTTGGGAGGGACATCTCAGGAGCAAGGAGGCCCAGCCCCACACCGGGCCCCCTCAGCACCGGGTTACAGTGCCAGGAAGGTAAGTCCCCATAACTTCCAGTGGGAGTCAGGGGAAGAAACTGCTGGAGTCCCAAGCAGCTCCTTTTAAAGAACCCACACATGGACTTACTCAGGCTCGCTCCCTCTGAGCTCTAGCACTTAGGGTAGCAGCTTGAAAGGCACCAGTGGCATACTGAGGGGAGGAAATGAAATGTCTGGCATCAATGTGAGAGCTGGGGCACAGCTTTCTCCCAGACAGAAAGGTAGGTATAGGCCACTGCCCCTTTTATGAACCCTCCTCCCACAGAGCTACATAACTGGCAGGTGGGTGTCATATCTGAGACTCCATCAACTTGGCTAACATTGTTTGCCCTGTCCTACCCAACTTATGGGCCCACCCAAGCTATTAACCATGACTTTTCCATATGAATGGCTGGTCTTGCCTCAAGTTTCACAACTTCTTCAATCCTCAAATAAACAAAAGCTGGCCTCAGTGAGCCTACAGCCCCCGTACCTCTTGCTAAGTGGCCCCAGGTCTGGCACTAGCAGCAGCCAACCTAGGCTCATGGCTTGACTTCACCTGGGAATCTCCAAGTCCAGCCCAAGTTGCAGCCATCTCAGATTGCTTTATAGCTCAGCCAGTGTAGGCCTAGGCAAAACTCAGGCGGGGTATGACCTTGGCCTGCATCACCGGGGAAACTCCAGAGCCTACACACCCAGTGGACAGCTACAGACCACGTCAGAGCACCACCACCCTGCCCCTGCACAGTTGACCCTCCACGGAAGGCGGAGATTGGTGGTCAGTGGTCACAGCCAGTCCTTGCAGCTGAGTGGCCTGGGTAAATCCCTCCCATTGACCTGCCAACAGCAACCAAGGCTCAACTACAAGAGGAGAGTGTACTCAGCACATATGAGGGGCACACCACAAGTGCCCAGATTGGGTAACAGGGGAAGCTGTACCATCGGACCCTACAAGACACACACTACATTAGACCACGTTACCAGGACAGGGAGTCATAGCATTAGGTAAAGATAGTTCTATCTAATACATAGAAAGAAACACAGGGAGCCTTCCAAAATGAGGAGACAAAGAAGCATGGCCCAAGTGAAAGAACAGATTAAAACTTCAGAAAAAGAACTAAAAAAAAAAAAAATGGAGATAAGCAATCTATCAGGTGCAGAGCTCACAACAGTGGTTATAAGGATGCTCAAGGAACTTAGTGAGGACCTCAGCAGCATAAAAAAAGATCCAGTCAGAAACAAAGGATTTACTAATTGAAATAAAAAAACAAGTTACAGAGAAATAACAGTAGAGTGTATGAAGCTGGGAATCAAATCAATGATTTGGAACATAAGGAAGCAAAAAATAGCCAATCAGAACAACAAGAAGAAAAAATAATTGAAAAAAAAATTAAGACAGTGTAAGCAGCCTGTGGGACAACTTCAAACGTTCCAACATTCACATCATAGGGGTGCCAGAAAGAGAAGAGAAAGAGCAAGAAATTGGAAATCTATTGGAAACAATAATGAAGGAAAATTTCTCTAATTTAGTGAAGAAAATATACATGGAAGTCCAAGAAGCACAGAGAGTCCCAAACAAGATGCATGCAAAGAGGCCCACTCCAAGGCACATCACAATTACAATGTCAAAGGTTAAAGATAAAGAGAGAATCTTAAAAGCAGCAAGAGAAGGTCAGATGATTGCCTACAAAGATGTTCCCATATGACTGTCAGCTGATTTCTCCAAAGAACCTTTGCAGGCCAGAAGAGATTGGCAAGAAATATTCAAAGTCATGAAAAGCAGGGACCTACAGCCAAGATTGCTCTACCCAGTAAAGCTATCTTTTAGAATGGAAGGGCAGAAAAAGAGCTTTCCAGACAAGACAAAGCTAAAGGAGCTCATCGTCACCAAACCATTATTATATGAAATGTCAAAGGGAATTATTTAAGAAAAAGAAGAAGATCCAAACTAGGAACAATAAAACGGCAATATATACATAGCTATCAACAATTGAATCTGAAAAAAAACAAACTAAGCAAATAAGAAGAACAGAGACGGAATAACGGATACCGAGAATGTTTTGATGGTTGCCAGATATGAGGGGGCTGTGGGGGAATGGGTGAGGAGGTGAGGGGGTTAAGAAGTACAAATAGGTAGTTACAGAACAGTATGAGAAATGGAGTAGCCAAGGAACATACGCACAAGACCCATGGACATGAACAATGGTGTTGGGGTTGCCTGAGGGAGTCGGGGGGGTGGGGTGGTGCTGGGTAGAGAGGTGTAAAGGGGGAAAATTGGGACAACCGTAATAGCATAATGAATAAAATATAATTTTTAAAAAGTTGACAAAACAAAGGGAAAAACAGACTTGTCCACAGTTATAGTGGGAAATTTTAACATTCCTGCTTCAGCAATTGATATAACTAGACATGAAGTCAGTAAAAATAAAAATATCTTTATGACCTTTTCAACCACAATAGAAAACAGGTAATGAAGGGGTGCCTTTTGGTGCCCGTGGCTGCTGTAGTATCGGTGGCTCTCAAAGCCCAGTGGAGTGGGTAATATGGGCCACACTGGATATAGGGCAGAGACAGCTTTGTATCCGATTTGCTGCTGAACTCCTAAGACCCATCTTTAGAGACTTACAGGATTCCTTTCTTCATTCTAGACTCAGAGGAGAGTTCTGAGACTGGTGGGCTGGTCCTGGAGTGGGGGGCGGGTCACCAGTAGGGTGCCCTGAAGAGCTAGGGTTGCCCAGAGAACAACCAAGCTCGCTTGGGTTTTCCTCCTTTTCCTGCTCGTGCCTGCCACGTTTTCTGTAGAAAGAGTGGGGCCGTTGTGTCACCCTCATTCCAACACGGAAGAAATCACTCACACGCACATTTCCCCCATTGACTTTTCCTGTCTCTGTTAACCCATGGGAATCCAATGGCTGGCATCTGAAAACTCAGGGGCTGGGGACCTAAGTTTGCAGAAAGTTCTCTCTGGAGCTAATATCAGCAAAAAGGGAATGTTTCTAGGAGTAACTAAAGCTGGTGACCGTTTTGGGTGCCAGCCTACTCCGCGGAACTGCACTGCCAGTCATCCTGCCTGAAGGAGTACGTACACATATATGAAGATATTCTTGAGGGAAAACACCACCAAGGGAGTGAAACACAGAATGTGATTGCATCAGGCAAAGCTGCAGAAATCCCAGTTGCCCATGAACATGAGCACAACCATGACTAGACACAGCTGCATGCCTACATTGGTGTTTCCTTCGTACTGGGCTTTGCTTTCATGTTGCTGGTAGACCAGATTGGCAACTCCTATGTGCATTCTACAGATGGTGCAGAAACAGCAAGGTCTAGCAATTTCAAGATCACCGCCATGCCTGGTCTGGTTGTCAATGCTGCCGCTGATGGTGTAGCACTGGCAGTAGCAGCTTCTACTTCACAAACTAGTGTCCAGTTAATTGTGTTTGTGGCACTGATGCTATGTAAGTCACCAGTTGCTTTTGGGCTGGTTTTGTTCTTAAGGAATGGTGGCCTAGAGTGGAATCAAATCATAAAGCACTTTCTGGTCTTTGCAGTGGCAGCGCCAGTTATGTCCATGGTGACATCCTTCAGACTAAATAAGGACAGTAAAGAAGCCTTTTCAGAGGCCAGTACCACTGTAGTGGCCACGCTTTTGTCTGCTAGGACATTTCTTTATGTTGCCACAGTATATGTCCTCCCTGATGTAGGTGGAATGGGGCACAGTCACCAATCTGAACCCACTGGAGGTGGCAGCCCTGGTTCTGGACTGCCTCTTACCAATCATCTTCTCGATAGGACACCAGCATTAAATGTTCAGGTCCCAGCCTCAACCCACAGCCATTTGCCATCTAGTGAGAACAGCCAGCACATGACAGCTGCTCACTTTCTTAGTCTCTTGTCTTACTTGCCCTTCTCCACCTGTATTCCCGGAGTCCACAGGGAGGTGAGATTAAAACCTGGAGTAACAGAAAGCTTTTGTTAGTAGAAACAACACATTGTGATCGGATGTACACATTCCATTGTGTTGTCTTTTAAAGGGCGCTGGCCATTTTGAATTTTGACGTTTCTCTTAACCTTATTTTCAGGGAAGATGGAATTCAGTTTTAACTTTTAAGGCAAAGTGGAGAACTTCATACTCACAATGAAATAGTAATTATGAGAGTACAGTGTTCTGTAATTAAGCTAAATCTCAGTTTACAGGCTCTGGCACTTTATCCATTGATTTTTAACATGGTTCTCACTGTGTGAGACTGGTGCTTTAGCATCTATATGCCACAGAAGGTCATAATGCCTGCTGCCTTAGATGCTAAAGATAACTGTAGTTAATTTGGGGATAGAGTCAGAAAAATGATGGCAAACAAATTGAAGGCTGACTTTTGTACTCGAGAGAGATCTGCTGAAAAGGGATGTCTGGAGGACTTTAACACTTCCTTCTGTCTGTGCCTCTTTGAAAACAGCCAGCCATTCCACCAAATGGAGCAACAGAGATGGACTAGCTTCTAAAGAGGTGGTTACTATTTAGTAACATTTCTTTTCAAGTTCTCCTTTGCAGAACCCTGCCTCCAACACACTCTTATAAGGAGCCAAGTTCTTGTAGGTTTAGGCCTAGATTTCCCTTCAACAACAGTCAGATCCCAAAGTATCTTTAGATATTAAGTGGTATTAAATTTTAAGTGAATTTGGATAGTTATTGACATCTTTGTAATAACATTTTAAAAAGTAAGATTAACCAAAACCTATGTTGTTCTTTTCTTCTTTTTAAATATTTATCTTAGCAGACCAGCAGTCCCTCTGGGAAAATATTTGGTGTCTCTTGGGGGATGCTAGGTCAGTGCCACCTAAGCACCTGTAGCAGTGAAGAAAGTCAAGATGTATGATACACGGGAAGTGTTTGTTCATTTAAAGCTATTGAAAGAGGGAAGAAAGGAAGGGCGGGAGGGGGAAGAAAGAGAGAGAGGAGAGACAAAGAAAGAAAGAGAGGAAGGAAGAAAGAAAGAACGTGGGAGAGAGGAGGAAAACTATAAAGAAAATGGACCCAATTTGCCACCATGGGCTCTCCATCTCCACGTTTACTCCACCAACTACTTGCCGCCGTATTCGTAGGCCATTTTGTTGCTGGAGGACCAATGGGTGTGCTCCTTGCTTCTACAAGCTTCAAGGTTTGAGACTTCAAGTCCTCACCCCTCGCGGCCTATTGTTACTGTAACACATTGCCTCCTCACGTGCTTTTCTGATCCAATCATTTGCCCTGCACCCAGACGCGCTGAGAACTTTCTACCTCTTCTCCTAGGGGCTTCTGGGAGGCCCTCGTGGTCTTAACACGGAGTGCTTGGGAGACGCCGCCACACGGCACCTGGCTGCGCAGGAGAGGCAAGCTCTTCAGTCCCTTGGGAGTGGGATTCCGGAGTCGTCCACAGAGGCCGAGAAAGTGAGGCCCAGGTCAGGGGTTTGGTGGGGACTCTGGAGCTGGAGTTGGGGGTAGGGATCCTGGGTGAGGGGGTCGGAGAGGAGAGCTAGCATGGTGGGGTGCAGGGGCGGGACTCCGGCACCCAGCCCTAAGGAGGGCTGCTGACTGAAGGGGTTCTGAGGGCAAGATTCCCAGTTGGAGGTCTGCAGGGTGGTACTTCTGGCTGTGAGGGGTGCTGGTGGGGGTGCTGTGGTGTAGGGAGGTGGTGGGCGCGGTTAATGGCTAAGCGGTTGTCGAGGGGGGCATGAGAAGGGAAGGCTCCCAAGTGCCGCAGGGGAGGGCAACGACTGTGCTTCCCGGAGGATCGAGGGCAGGGCCGCCTACAAAGCGGCAGGTCTGGCTTGAGGGGTTCCACAGAGGCAAAGGCTGCTGACTGCGGGTGGGCGGGTGCGGGGCAGGCAGGCTCCTGGTTCCCCGGTGCCCCAAAGTGAGGGGAGGACTAACGCCTACTGTGGGGGTGAAGGGAATGCTACTGAGCAAGATGGGGACTATCAGGGAGGACCCCGGTGGTGGGGAGCTTCCACTGTGCGTTTAGGGGGGGAAGGGCGAACGCCGCCGCCGGGCCAGAGGGGGTGCTCCTGCTCGTGTTTGGAGAGCTGAAATGGGCTGGCTGCCAGCTTTCTTCTGTGGTGGGAGGAATCCCTGGTGTGGGGAGGCTGAAAGGGGTCGCTGGTGTCCTGGCAGGTCCGTGGCCACGGGTGACGTGAATGTGGAGGGTGCCTTGCTTCTGGAGCCACAGGGACTGGTTGCCGGTGAGGAGAGCATAGGAGGGGGAGGGTCAGGAGAGAAGGGATCTCTGGTGTGAGGAGGCTAGAGAAGGCTAACGTCTAAGCTTGTGGGGGCGCCCTGCTAGAGGTGGGTGCCACTGGCTCGGTGCGGAGCACAGCCTGGGACGGCGTTTTGCAGGACACGAGAGGGTGGAGACTGGCATCGAAGGAGGGGATGGGCTGGAAGGTAGAGCCACTGGCTGAGGTGGGAGTGGTGGAGGTAGAGAAGCCGCCTGGCAAATGGTGAGCGGGTGATGGTGAGAGGGGGTTGCACTGGGGTTACTGTGATCTGGTGGAGGATGTCAGATATTGCAAATAGAGGGTGGGGGTGGGGGATGGGACACTGAATTTGGAATCTGAAAGGCCACCCATCACGTCTGTGGGGGGGGTGGCATGGGGATTTCAGTGTGGGGAGGGGCAAGGCCTTGGCCTCCATGGAAAGTACAGATTCTTTTTTTAAGTATATTTTATTGATTATATTATTATAGTTGTCCCATTTTTTTCTCCCTTTTAGCCCCCTCTGCCCTGCACCCCCACTCCTACCAGCATTCCCCCCCTTGTTCATGTTCATGGGTCCTACATATAGGTTCTTTGGCTTCTCGATTTCCTATGCTATTCTTAACATCCCCCTGTCTATTTCGTACCTACCAGTTTTGCTTCTTATTCCCTGTACTTTCCCCCCCATTCTCCCCCTCCCCTTCCCAGATGATAACCCTCTATGTGATCTCCATTTCTGTGATTCTGTTCCTGTTCTGCTTGTTTGTTTAGTTTGTTTTATTCTTAGCTTCAGTTGTTGATAGTTGTGAATTTGTTGCCATTTTAATATTCATAGTTTGGATCTTCTTCTTTTTCTTAAATAAGCCCCTTTAACATTTCACGTAATAATGGCTTGGCAATGATGAACTCCTGTAGCTTTACCTTGTCTGGGAAGCACTGTATCTGCCCTTCCATTCTAAATGATAGCTTTGCTGGATAGAATAATCTTGGATGTAGGTCCTTGCCTTTCATGACTTTGAATACTTCCTTCCAGCCCCTTCTTGCCTGCAAGGTTTCTTTTGAGAAATAAACTGATAGTCTAATGCGAATTCCTTTGTAGGTAACTGTCTCTTTTCCTCTTGCTGCTTTTAAGATTTACTTCTTGTCTTCAGTCTTGGATAATTTAATTATGATGTGTCTTGGTGTGTTCTTCCTTGGGTCCAATTTCTTTGGGACTCTCTGAGCTTCCTGGACTTCCTGGAAGTCTATTTCCTTTGCCAGATTGGGGAAGTTTTCCTTCATTATTTTTTCAGATAAGTTTTCAGTTTCTTGCTCTTCCTCTTCTCCTTCTGGCACTCCTGTGATTTGGATGTTGGAATGTTTAAAGTTGTCCCTGAGGTTCCTAACCTTCTCCTTTTTTTTTTTTTTAATTCTTGTTTCTTCACTCTTTTCTGGTTGAATGTTCATTTTTTCCTTCTGTTCCTAATCCTTGATTGGAGTCCTGGTTTCCTTCCCTTCACTGTTGGTTCCCTGTATATATATATTTTTAATTTCACTTTGTATAGCCTTCAGTTCTTCCTCTATTTTGCGTCTGAACTCACTCATTTCTGTGAACATCCTGATTACCAGTGTTTTGAACTCTGCATCTGATAGATTGGCTATGTTCTCATCACTTAGTTCTTTTTCTGGAGTTTTGATCTATTCTTTCATTTGGGCCATATTTCTTTGTCTTTGTGTACCTGTTACATTGTAAGAGGTGGAACCTTATTCGCCAGGGTGGGGCAACCCACTTCGCTGTGTTGTGGCTCTTTGTGTGGAGGAGGGGTCAGAGAGGGAACAATGCCACTTGCTCGGCCCTCGCCCCACCTTCAGTCACTTCCCCTGCTACCCACAAACAAATTGGGTCCTCTGGTGGTGATTCCCAGGTGGGTAGGCTGTGGGTCTTTCCAACAAACTCTCCTGTGAGGCTGGGAGTTTCTTCCACTGCCACAACCTCCATAGGTTTTTATAGCCAGAGGTTTTGCATCTTTAGTTTCCCATGCTGGATCCCTGGGTTGCATGGTCTGTCTTGCTCCCCAGTTTTTCCTCCTGTTTTATCCATACCGGAAGGTGGGACTGCCAGGTCCACTAGCTGCCCCCTTGCCGCACATCCTCCCCACCCTGGCTGCCCATCTCTTCCCCTCCTACCAGTCTGGATGAATGTTTCTTAACTACTTCATTGTCAGACTTCCATACAATTCACTTTTCTGGCAGTTTTGGTTGTTTTTGGTTTTTAAATTTGTTGTTGTCCTTCTTTTGGTTGTACAAGGAAGCAAACCATATCTACCATCACCTCCATCTTGGCTGGAGGTTCCAAAAATATAGATTGTTTATGAGGGTGCTTTATACACTCACCAGATACACCATGTATCCAGCCACAAACAAGTCTCCATAAGTTTAAAATGATTGCTTTTACTTAATAAGTTATCTAATCATAAGAGAATTTTATTTGAAATTAATAATAACATTTAAATACTTGGAAACCCATGGATCAGAGAAAATCACAAAGGAACTTAGAAAATATTTCTTGCCAAGTATTTTAATGAGAAAAAAATACAACTCACCAAAATTAGTGGGAAGCAACTGAAGAAACAATCGGAGGAAAATGTATTTCTCTAAATGCTTGTATTAGGGGGAAAAAAATTGGCATGCAATTAACGACCTAATAGCCCATTTAAAGAAGCTAGAGAAAGAAGAGTAAAGTAAATGTAAAATGAGTTGACTGAAAAAAATAATAGGGTTGAGAAAGGAAATCAGTGACAGAAAGAAATTATAGAGACAATTAACAAAGCCATATCTTGGTTCTTTTTAAAGAGCAATGAAACTGATAAAGCCCTAGCAAGACTAATCACAGAGAAGGACACGAATCACTAATCAGGGATGAAAGAGGGCTACCACTACAAATCAGACATTAAAAAGAGAATGAGGGAATATTACAGAAAAACTGGGGCCAAAAATGTGAAAACTTGACAGATTCTTAGGAAAAGAGGGTGACTACCTAAAACTGATGCCTGTAAAAAATAGAAATTATGACTAACAAAAAGTTTCCTAAAATGAAACAAATAAAACAGGGTGGGGAGGTGCTCCAGGCCTCTGTTGGGAGGGGCATGGGGCTCTGTCTGGGCAGTGGGGTGGGCTGTGTGGCACAAACATGACTCTCTCCCTTTGCACCCATAGGACAAAGGCCACATTGCGACAGCCTGCACACCACTGTCCAGTCACTTCTTCCCGCCTCTCAGGTCCTCAGGCGATGGCGATGGCACTGGCATTGCTGCAGGACTGGTGTAGCCTGATGGGTGTGAACGCCCACCGCTCCCTGCTCATTCTGGGCATTCCAGACGATTGCGAGGACCAGGAGTTCCAGGAGGCTGTGCAGGCTGCCCTGCGGCGCCTGGGCAGGTACCGAGTGCTGGGCAAGGTCTTCAGAAGGGAGCTCCAGTCTAGCGTCGCCTTGATCGAGTTCGCTGAGTATTTAAACCGAAATTCAATCCCCCAACAAATACCAGGCAGGGGAGGACCCTGGACTGTGGTCTTCCTGCCCCAGGTCCCCAATTCTGAGCCACAAGATAGACCTGATTTCCCTGCACTGCTGCAGAGGCAAGCAGTGGCTGGCAGGGCAGGTGAGGCAAGAGCTGCAGGTGAGGAAGAAGCTGCAGGTGAGGATGTGGCTGCAGGTGAGGGTGTGGCTGCAGGTGAGGGTATGGCTGCAGGTGAGGGTATGGCTGCAGGTGAGGGTGTGGCTGCAGGTGAGGAAGTAGCTGCAGGTGAGGGTGTGGCTGCAGGTGAGGATGTGGCTGCAGGGGATGTAGCTGCAGGTGAGGGTATGGCTGCAGGTGAGGGTGTGGCTGCAGGTGAGGAAGTGGCTGCAGGTGAGGAAGTAGCTCCAGGTGAGGGTGTGGCTGCAGGTGAGGAGGCTGCAGTTGAGGAAGGGGCTGCAGGTGAGGAGGTAGCTGCAGGTGAGGGTGTGGCTGCAGGTGAGGGTGTGGCTGCAGGTGAGGGGGTGGCTGCAGGTGAGGATGTGGCTGCAGGTGAGGGTGTGGCTGCAGGTGAGGGTGTGGCTGCAGGTGAGGAGGTGGCTGCAGGTGAGGATGTGGCGGCAGGTGAGGAGGGAGCTGCAGGTGAGGAGGGAGCTGAAGATGAGGCAGGAGAGTCAGATGAGGAGGGAGCTGCAGGTGACACAGGGATTGCAGGTATGGCAGGATCTGTGAGTATGGCAGGAGCCTCAGGTGAGGCAGGAGCTCCCGGTGAGGAAGTCGTGGGTGTGGCAGGAGCCCCAGGACAGGCAGGAGCTTGGAACCAGCAATGGAGGCAGGCCTTGCAGCCTGTGCTAGAAAATATGGCCTACCAGCAACTGAGAACCTTTTCTGGGATGGAAGAGCCAGGCCACGGGGATGAGTCCTTTGAGAGCTGGCTGGACCATGCCCATGACATGCTATACCTATGGCGACACGTATCAGAAAGGGAGAGGAGGAGAAGGCTGGTGGAGAGCCTGGGTGGCCCTGCACTGGATGTTGTGAGAAGCCTCCTAAATGAGAATCCTGACATCACTGCGCAGGACTGCCTGGCCGCACTGATTCAGATGTTTGGGAACAAGGACAATCCTATGACTTCACGGCTGAAATTCATGACTTGTGCCCAGCGGCCCCAGGAGACTCTCTTTGCCTACATGATGCGTCTGGAAAGCCTGCTGCAGGCGGCCATAGAGAAGGGGGCCATCCAACCCTCCATGGCAGACCAGGTGCGTGCCCGGCAGGTGCTGATGTGGGCCCGTCCCAATGAGATGCTCTGGAACACGCTGAGGAGATTGCGGCTAGAGAGGAGATCACCTAGCTTCCTGGGGATGCTTCAGCTCATTCGGGAGTCGGAGGCATGGGAGGCCACTCCAACTACGAGCCAGCAGGCCCAAGTGGAAGAAGGGGCCTGTGTGGATGTTGGAGACCTAGCTGCTGCCCACGCTGCCCCAGCCCGTGAAGATGATGGCGAGGCCGCCGTAGCCCGTGAAGATGATGGTGAGGCCGCCGCAGCCCCTGAAGGAGCTGCCCACGCTGCCCCAGCCCGTGAAGACGATGGCGAGGCCAGCGCAGCCCGTGAAGACGATGGCGAGGCCGCCGCAGCCCCTGAAGGAGCCGCCCACGCTGCCCCAGCCCGTGAAGGTGATGGCGAGGCCGCCGCAGCCCGTGAAGGGGCTGCCCACGCTGCCCCAGCCCGTGAAGGTGATGGCGAGGCCGCCGCAGCCCGTGAAGGGGCTGCCCACGCTGCCCCAGCCCGTGAAGGTGATGGCGAGGCCGCCGCAGCCCGTGAAGGGGCTGCCCACGCTGCCCCAGCCCGTGAAGGTGATGGCGAGGCCGCTACAGCCCCTGAAGATACTTCCCAGGGTGTCCTTTCCAAGGAAGATAGTGCCGAGGCCACTCCGGCCAATGCAGTGGCCAGTGAGGCAGGTCCTGGCACTGCCGATCCTGATGGGGCTGCTTCTGAAACCGGTGGTGCCACCACGGCGGTCCCTGCCCTTGAGGAGACCTCCTCTGCCACTCAGCGAGGTGAAAATGCTCTGGCTCCTGCAGGCCTAGGTCAGGCAGGACCCTCCCCTGCCCGTATGGGCAGCGCTTCTGGGGTGGGCTCAAGAGGTCTTGGCGGTGAGCCAGAGGGCCAGGCCCAGGCAGGAGACCAGGAGGCCCAGGAGCCCCGCGAGGAGGGGCTCAAGCCCATCCCGGAGGAGTTGGGAAGTGAGGACAGGGCTGGGGAGATGAGTTCCCCTGAGCCCTCCTCCAGCAAATAGGCTTGGAAGGCCCAGTGGCCTCCCGTCTTCTCAGGCAACGCAGGCCTGGAGGCAGGGGGAGGCCAGGCCAGGGCAGCCTCCTCGCCCCACACGGGGAGCAGGGCCCACCCAGCCCAAACCAAGCCTCCGGGCTTGTTCTTACGGACATGTTTTGTGTTCTCTGAGCTGTTCTCTCTCCATGCCACCCCACCCCTCACCCCTCACCCCTCACCCCGGAGACCCTGTGCCCGATCCCAGGAGATGGCGGGAAGGACCAACGAAGGTGAGGCCAGCACTCACCCAGCGACCCTGGGAAGGAAGACCTGGACCAGGGACAGAAAGCGGCTGCCGGGGGCCCCACAGGGACTGCGTCTTGATGTGCCACCCTGTTGTTCCTTGTGACTGCGTTTTCCTCGGCTTGGTGCAGTGTCCCCTGCTGTGTTTCCCAGCATCCTGCGACTGTCCTGCGCAGGCCGTAGGGCAGGGCCAGGACCCAGCACGTCAGCCAGAGGGAGGGGGCCCCTGCAGCGAGTGGACATCGCCAGCGTCCGTAGCCCTGCAACGGCCGAGCGCGGGGCCCTCAGGAAGGGGGACTGGGGCGGAGGGCCGTGGCGTGGGGGGACAGCTGAGGCACCTTGTCCGGGGCCCCAGCAGGAGGCGGGGGTGTGAGGCCTATGGGTTCTAGTGGGTGTTAAAAGGTCCTCTCTGTTGTCATTTTCTTTCTTCAATGGTTTCAGTAAATGTTTCTCCAATAAATTTCGTTGAATGTTTCTGCCGAGTTTTGCTCTGGGAAGTTGAGGGGGGATCTGCTGGGAGTGTCATTGGGGACCAGAAAAGGATTCCTGCTTAGCACCATGGGCATGAGACTTCGCCCCTGACTAGGCAGGGTAGGTACTTTAGTAGACTAAGATATGATGAAAGTTTTTGTCCCACTTAGTAGGTGAATTATAAAGTTTTGGGGTTCCATTAGTTCTAGTCGTGGGATGGTGCTGTCCCCTTGGTCTTTTAAAAATGGCTAGGGGTGATCCTAATTTTCTCCTTGACTGGAGGGAAGATATCCAGTGCCTGGGATTCAGGACTGCTAAACGTGTGTGCTGTGGGGAGTGCGGTCGTGTAACAAAGAACTGTCATCCCCCAAGGCCTATAGCACCCTTGGTGAGAAACCAGTACTAGACTGGTAAGATTTTTGTAAAAACCCCAAGTGTATTTTAATTTGAGGTATCCTAAAATGTGAAAATATCCCCATAGAACAACAATGATAGCACTTACTGAGCAACTCAAAATCTTGACATTTTGGGGTTTCTTGGAGAATGGGCACTAACATATACATAGCACCTCCAGTTGCAAAAAGACTTGCTCTCAAGGACAAGAAAAAGATTAGTTAGTGCAATAGAGGTACCCACAATAGCTGGGAGACAGGATGCCCTCTGAAGATGTAACATTCTGGGGTGGGAGGTAGGATTCATGCTAAAGGCAATGGGGAGCTGTGGGACCATTTAGGTGGGCCCAGTGAACACCGCTCATTCCTTCTGTCCCAGAAGTTGCTGAGCCCACCTCCCATGAGAGGAACGGAAAATGACAGGTCGGTGATCTCCCAGCTTCTCTTGCAGAAAGGACATGGGTGTGTGACCAAGATACGTTAATCAGAAGTGACTGCTGCCAATTGAATCTGGGCTCAGGTGGGAAGGAGCAGGGACACACCGATTCCACTTGGGTAGTGGGTGGCAGCAGACGCAGCGATGCTTGTTACCGAGAGGGCAGTGATAGCCATGGTTCTGGAAGCACCCGAGTCCCCCATTGGTAGTGCAAGCCACAATATCTGTGCTGTCATGAGAGGGAGCCAGCCCGGCACTTCACCATGAAGCAGACACTTGCTCCTCCAAGCCTGGCTTTCCAGCTCGCCCCAAACACCCATGAGCCCCCTCACCCCTGATGTCATCCTTCAGCTAATTCCCTTTGTGCTTCCAGTGGCCACAATAAGATGTGACGGCTAAAGACCAGGGTGGTACAAGTGCCTCCTAATGACACCAGCCAAAAGAGCACCCCGCAGGAGTAGACATCTGCCCTATAGCTCCTGCTTGGCAGCTGGGATTTTGGAATGCTATGCTTAATGCCTCCAGAGCAGGTCTGAGGGAAAGCAGGTCCCAGAATTTAAAGTGTGGAACCCTGGGGCAACAGGGTCAGGGTGGGTGGGCATTTGCCTCTTTTTTTCTTAGAACTGGGTGGTGTGGCTGCAGTTTGAGGGAGAGCTGATCTGGTGAAGAGAGGGAAGCCCCCCAACCTGAGGTGAGGAGCGGTGTACACCCTCGGCCTGAGAAGCCGTGCCAGGCACAGATAAAAGTTGGTGCCTTCCCACAGACTCCTGTCAGCTGGGTATGCCTGGTCAAGGGTAGAGAGGAGCCTGTGAGAGGGCAGAGAGATGCCCTGGGATTGGCGGGCCAGTGCTTGGGACAAAGCTTGAGAGAGAGAGAGAGAGAGAGAGAGAGAGAGAGAGAGAGAGAGAGAGAGAGAGAGAATAGAAAGAGACACACAAGAGACAGAGTTGGGCAACCTGTTTCTCAGACTGCATCTTCTATGACTGGAGCCTGAGACTTCCAGTGGCTTCCCTCTTCCCCATAAACCGAGGATGAGCACATACACTGACACCAGCCAACTCGGGAGGCCGAGCAGACTGGTTGCTGAGGGAGCCCTTGTCCCAGTTTTCTGCTCTGTCCGCATTCCCCAAAGCTTATGGCCCAGATGGGATGGTCAGACACACCCCCACAGGTCTTGACAGTGCCTTTCACATTCCCTTCTCAGTCTTCCTCTAGTATCCTCTGTTCAGCTTGCAGTCCAAGTCCATGTCAGTCTAGACCCTTCCTGTCCCTGCCTGTAGCCTGGGACAGCTGGCAGAGTCCTGAGGAGCGGGGAGTCACTCCACCCCACTTGCTGCGCCTTTTCCAGCTAGTGGGGCCAGAGTCACAGCTGGCACAGGGAGTGGTGGCTCAGTGAGTGGATGACCCTCCCCGAAGCTTAGCGCGGACTCTGCTGGCACCCCCATCCCAGCCCCATGTCCATTCCCGTCCCAGCCCAGCTCCCACTTACAGAGGGGGAGACAGTATTTACCAAATGACCACTGAGACCCTGTTGCAAAGCAGCCCCTGAAAAGTGAAAGAGAAATCCACTGGCTACTTGGGGGGCAGCAGCGACTCAGTGCCTGCCCCTTGGGAGGCACTTGGGACTTGGCCTCCAACGCTTCCCCGTCAAGGGCTTGCTCTAGGGGCCTGAGTCTTGTTCTGTGAACACATTCCATTCTGACAGCCACATTAGACTTCAGGGACAAGTCCACCAGAGCAGGGCTTCAGTGGCTCTCCCAGCTGCCGGGTCCTCAGGGAGCCAATGACTTTTGGGTGAGTGGAGATTTGGGCTCAGGGTGGCTTTGAGAGAGAATTTGGTGAATTTGTGCCACAATGGGCACCTTGCAGGCCCCAGAGCCCAGGCTTTCTGAAGGTTTAGGGCTGAAGAGGCAGCACAAGCCCACTCATGAGAAGGACAACTTCCATCATCCTTGTGTAAGTTGCCTGTTTTTCCCTCTGGTGCATTCCAGATGCCTGGGACCCTAGCAGACTCTGGCAAGGGGGCTGCTTCAGGATCTCATGTGCAGCTGACCGCCAACACTGTTGCGGGGTGGTGATTCCTGGCTGTGCTCTCTTAGCTGCCAGCCCAGGAAATTTCCCCTCAGTGACCCTCTTGCCTAGTCCTGCGCACCAGTGCCATGGAGGGAGGTGCCCACAGGACTGTGGGGAACTTGGGGAGCTGAGGGCACATGTGTGCCTCTGAAGCATAAGGTAGGTGGATGTCCCCAGGTATACAGAGGGGCAGTGGGGCAGGGTGGAGGAAGCAGGGGGGCATCCTCAGGTAAAGGACAGCACTTGTCAAGTGTATTGTGTCCATTGGGCTAAGCTACAACTACTTCTCCCGGAATTCCTGCCCTTTATGGTTCCAGGCTAAGGCTGACCACAGGAGAAATTCATGCAAGATTTGGAAGGGAGAAACGAAGCAAAAGTCTTTTATTTTCTTATTTTTTTCTACTGTTCAGCACAGCGTCGTTGATCTGTTGTCTTGACTCACCTGCTGCTGCCATTAAATCACTTCCTTCTGTTTCTCCAGGTTCTGGGTCTGCTCAAGTGTAGCTGTGTGGGGATGGACACCCACCTCCTACAGGCCACTGCATCATCCAGGTTCGAGGTGGTGGCACACATAGGTGGTGGCTCCCAGTTTGTCCTTACCACACCGCTCCACTTCTTGGCCGCCTCTGTGTCCCTTGTTCCCACCCTGCTGACTGCAGGCCCAGAAGCAGCAGTTCCCCCTGACTGACTGTGAGGGTGTCATCCCTGTGGTGCATCGTCTGTACCACTCAGGGAGTGGGTTCTGCTTCTGAAGGAACCTTAACAAGCAGGCACACCATGGTCTGGGCCTGTCTTCCTCCCCACAGAGCAGCCCTCAGCTCACATGGGCTAGGCCTTCCCAGCCTATCCTTTAGTCTGTGGTGGCGTCCCAAGCTGGGGCCCCTTTCCAGTCCTGAGCCCGCCCACTGACTGGCTTAGCCTGAGAGTAGGTGGAGCTGGGATACTCTGCTCATGCCTAAATCTTAGCTGCCTGCAAAAGATATGGACTTAAGAAATTCTTTCCAGGCCTTGGGCTCTTTTCCTCTTCAGTTATACAGAGAAAATGATGGACTGGCCTGGCTTCAAACACAACTTCAAAGAGAAAAACAGCATTGGAAACATCTAGAACCCCAAACCACAAATTAGAAAGCTCTCCAGCCAAATATTGCTCTGTCTACACTGGGGTAAGGGGCCAGCCAGCCGGCCAGCAATGAATTTTCTCAGAGCTGAAGCAGGAATCAGAGTGCCCCAGAGTCAAGGGTCACGGTCTGGAAAGTCAGAGAAAAATACAAAACAAATTTCTGATTTGATTAATGAAACTTAAGAATGCAGGCCATAAAGATGGTGGAATGTCACTGTGGAGACTTAGTCAGA